TTTATCAGTGTAGATAATGACATAAATCAATTAATGTACAAATAATTTTTATAGCATTTTTTTAAGTTGCTGTAGATAATCTACTGCCCAATATTTACATTACAGTACAGAGTCCAAGATCCAGAATCGTCGGGACTTCCGGAATTTTAGATAATCAGTTTAAAGCTATTGAGATGATGTGGAAATTATTAAAAAAGTGTTCTTAATTAATATTTCTTTAAGAATAAAGTATTTTACTTAAAGTTTTTTTTTTTTTTTTTTTTTTTTTTGAATCGCCATCTTAGGAAATTAAAATGGCATTCGGAGCCGAAATGTTTATATTATCAGGATTGAAATCATACTACAGATATTCACTGTTCCGTTAACTGATTGATCATTCAGGCATTATCATCGTACTGTAAGATTTCAGTTGTGTAACCTTTCATTTAGCATTTCTTCTCGTATTCCATTAATAGGAAATTTCGCTTTTGTGATATCCGAAAAGCTTCCGATTCGTGGCCTTTATCATCATCCTGATCATGAAGTTTGGTTGCTGGCTATTAATATATGCAAAACATTAAAAATATGTATATTTGTAGACACGTCCTGTCATGGTCTTGGAATGCCCCACGCATCAGATTTTATAATAAAATATTTTAAGAATTCTTAGGTGGTCTTACAACATCGGTTCTTAAAAACCTGTTTAATGTCTTCATTTCAGTGTGCGCTAATTTCCGATATCCATTGACTGATTGACGGATGTGCATTTTTGGGTAAGGAGTAAAACAGGAACGTTATCATTTAACAGTAATAGACAGAACAAATTAATAAGCTGTTCATGTCAGAAAATTGCAGTTAGCAATTTGCTATGTTAACTGAACTCAGGTGCCTCGGAATCTAATTCTTTCTCTCTTCGCATCAGCTATTCCAACAAAAAAAAGCCTGTGTAAGTGACATTCTACTCCAAATAAGTATGTCCCGGGTCTTTATTTAATGTTTAAGTCCAACAGAAAAATGCTACCCCCCCCAGCTACTCAAGGGCTGGAAGTGCGGTCATGGCGAACATCAATACAACGTCCACCAAGATATCATTTACCACAGTATAATTTCCTAGATAGCGTGTGCTTGAAAGTAACACAGAGTAATATTACTTAGTCGAGTGAATTATCGCTTTTACAGCATACCTGCTTTTTCTGCATTATTATATTGTCTAGTCTTAGACTATGTAAAGAAAAAAAATTTCTAGTGGTCCTGAAGTCCAGTTTTAGGACTTGGTAGACTTTGTATTGTAGTTGTAAAAGTCTGTATTTATTTGCGAATAATTTTAAATTTCAAATCAGAATTATTCGCAAATAAATGTATTGCGTAATTTAGTACATTATATGCATACAAATAAATATGTATATATTTTAGTTGTACACTATGGATACACTGCACATTTCGGTTTAGAAAAAAAAAAATAATAATAATAATCGCATATCACATGACTTTACGTTTATAGGGAACAAATAGTGTAATTTACAAGTTTTGATTGTTTTGGGAAATATCTGGCCCGACGAAACGGAAAATAAAAGCGTGAATAAAAAAGAAAATGCTCATAAAAATTTCAAATAATTTCAGATGTATATCTGTTTTCGGTTTCATTAGTAGATTCATTTTAAGTTTCTAAAATAAAACATTAATTTTTATTTAGTGGCATAACTAGTCCTATTAACGACCGAGGAGTCCATTTGCCGCCTCTTTGAATGCACACGAAAAAATCAAATCTATAAAATGCTGAAACGACATATAAAGAAATAAGAGAAATAAATAAAAGCTCTCTGTTAATTTTTGAAATAAAACTTAAATTCCAGCGTTTTAAACTGTTATTCTGCTTGTTTTTCTGCTAACAAAATCGTGGATGACACTCTAGAAGTCTGTTTTATTACTCCAGTTGCTATTCTGAAGACAGTAGCGTATTTATTAAAAGCTTTTAGTGCATATTTTTTATAAAGGATATTTGTTTGTAATTCGCTGCTTGACAGTAAATGAATGAATATGGATAGATAAATAGATATACAGAAGCTAATGAGTTATCTGAATGATTAATAAAACACTCATCATTCAAATATTAAAAAGTATTCCATAAGTTAAAAAAGGATAATTATAATAAATAGCATGCTGATATGAGCATCTTCGCATGGTCTGTGCAATAACTAAAACTTGGCTGCTGTCTGTGAAAAAACTGTGTTTTTCCCTGTCTGTGCATTTAAATTCTAGATCAAAATTTTCAGTCTGATTATCCTATGATTGGTTTCGTCCTTTGTCTTTTTTTTTTTTTTTTTTACTTCCAAATGAGCCTTTTAGTCTAATTAATTATTCATACATTTATTCATACTTTGAGAATCATGTATTATTTATTTTACTGTCTAAGATTTTTCTTTAGGTTAGAGCTATTTTAAAATAATCGAGTAATTTATTACGATTTTTAGAACTCTGTTTATCAATTTTCTTCGCAATAGTCATGACATGAAATTGAGATAATGAATGTAATTTGTATTAAAAGGTTTAATCTGTTGTCAAGATTAGACATAACAAGGGAAAAGAGTAGAAATCCTAAAATATCAATAGTAGAGCTGATATTTTAGGATTAATGGATGTTAAGACTATTTTTATCCAGTATGCTAAACGCTTTGATTTACAGAATTGCTTGTCTTTAATGAGCAAATGCTGAAACGGTGTTCGTACCTGAAGGCAATAGACAGAATCTGTGTTTCATGATTAGTAAATAATTATATGTTTGATACCTCTGATCTCAGTATGATCTCTGTCTAAGCGCATTTTCTGTCAGCAAAGCCCTTCCTCCCCCCACAAAGAAACTACAAACCCTAGTGTTTAAAGGATACGTCCATAATCTTCAACATGCTGCTCTGAAGAAAAAATCTGGAAATGTAATTTTAAAGGATGAGTTCATACTGAAGATGATATTATTTTGAAGAAATCTCTCAGAAATTCCGTAATATGCTACAAAAACTGCTGCAAAAGGGATTTAAGTTTTGTTAAAAGCATTTAGTAACAACGCAAGTAATGACACATTATGTAGCAATAAATGGTACAATTGGCATTCCTTGTGCTGTTTAAGGAACTTTATTGCCTGTGGAAAATTATTAAAAAATTATTAAATATATTTGACACTGCCCTTACATAGCCCTATATGTATTTCGAAGAATTAGTAGTACCAAAACATTTTGAAAAGCACTGAAGAGATAGATATTCTTTTTTTACGACTGTTTATCTATGTTGTAAACTACGTTGTGTTGATTCCTTTTTTTGCTTTTTTTAAATTATTAAGTTGTGCTTCAAAATATTGTTGGTATCTTTCTTGTGATTTGCTTTTGTGAGGTATCCTGTTAGTATCTCAGAAACATTTCAGTGTAAAATAGTTATTATGCAGTGTTTTTACTTAATTTTGGACAACGCGATCAGTTGTTATTGGTTTTAAATTGTTAGAGTACACTGAAGACTAAAAATACATAAATTTTATATTATGGAAACTAAGGTAACTTCTAGTTCAGCAAGACTTTTGTTTGCACAAAATTTATATCTGTAATAACTTTGGTGTTAATATTGTTTGAGAAGGTAAAATTTTGTCTGAATACTATGTTAAATTCTATATATCCTGTACATTTCAAATTATTTATGAGGGATCGGTGGCAATCTTTTGGCGCCATTGCGGGGTGAGAATTGTAGTTGAATGCTGGTCAGAAACATTCCCTCGCTGGTTCCATTGAACACGGGATAGAACCTACATTACTTGGCTAGAAGCCAAAGATTTTTCCTCAAGACCAAAAGTTTACTCAAAGCTATGGGGTTAATACTTGCAGCCATTTTGAGTATTTGTGTTGGTAAGTTTGTTTATATTCTTGCTAAAGGATGATCATGGATCTTAAGTCAATCATCTAAAAATCTAAAAGTAGGAAATAACAATTCTGTTTGGTAGAATTGTTTTTAAAAGAGCCCCTTTACCACCCCCCAAACACTAAAGCTATTAATATAATTTAAATTACTGTGTAATATCTACTTGTTTATCTTTTAGTGTAACAGCTGAAGTACTTGTAGGTACCACATAGGAGAAGGGTTAAAAGAGCCCTTTATGAAAACTATTTAAAACTCACAATGCGTCGACTTGACGCTAACAAACTACGCTTCGCTCAAGCGGTAACTCAAATAACAAGAACTAAACTAAAAACTTAAAGATATTAACAAACTGTAGAATTACTCTACAGGGCTCAGATAATCGTGTTACCTGAAACCGCTTCGAATTCTAGTGGCAGCCAAGTAATAGCTGTTACCCCACGTTAACCAGCAATAAATGCAGAATCAGAAGCTCACGCTACCAAGGTACAGTGCTTACCCACACTCGCTAACTTTCCCTTTTAAAACTCGCTATTTAAACCTTTTTCCCTCAAGGTGGAATTTGCATTCCTTCACGCACGCTACCAAATTGAAATATTCTGGCGTTGACAATTAGAGGAGTGAAGGCTTATAGGAAAGATAGTATAACTTAACTGGCTATTCAAAATAAATTCCTACAACTGTGTTGGTACAAATATAATGCCTGCTTTTTAGCAGCAGTTGTATAAATCTTCAAGGCAGAATTAAAATTGAATTTCTCAAGCATATCACCGAAGTTTGTAGTCATCATAGTATCCATGTTCTTGAGTAGAATTATTGTAGCCGTTGTTGATACTGAAAGCATTGCTTTGACTTGATAGTTATTGTTGTGATGAAAGTATTTGGAAAGGTTTACATGCTTCAAGCATTTCATTTATACTGAGCCATTTGTTTCAAAAAATAATAGAAGTTTATATTTTATGAAAAGCATTGCTATACGTAGATGAATTACTTTGAGGTTAAAAGACTGATTATGCATTTTTCTGCATTAATAAATTAAAGATGTTTATAAATATTCTTCTAGAAGTATGTGAATGAAAACTTTTATCTTATTTATGTTGTAATGATTTTATGTTCTTAAATTCTAGTACTTTTTCGACATGGGACCTAGTACCAGCACTGAGAAACGCCCAGGAAGTGCTCTTAGCAAATATGGGGAGTCTTCGAAAAGCCAAGCTAATGAAGGTATAATGTTCATGGAATTTGTAGCTAATTACGAATTAATTTTTGTTTGAGTGTACATTTTGATAGTAAGCAAAAGTGGGTGTACGTATTAAGAACGCACTATGTATTAAGAAATTTGTATTAATCCTATGCCAAATCACAAATTGCTATATAAATCTGAATAAAAAGGTGAGAGAGAATGAATTATTGCATCATGTCATGTCTGTTGGAAAATGAAAGCGAAAACATTAATGATTTAATCTCATTATTGCTTTCATAAACCAGAACTATACAAGCTGTTTATGATTAAACAAATGTACTTACATACAGTGGGAACTCCTTTTATTTCAGTATAATACCAGATGAAAACAAAGAGGTTTTAACTCTTGCTGTTGACACTTTTTGATCAATGTTGCGTCATCCAGAAGAGTTTATTTCTTGGGGGGGGGGCATAATACGTACGAATGAAGCAGTACAAAACAAAAGAAAATTTCATTGAATCAACATAAGCACCATTTTGTCCTACAATTTTTTGCCGGCTCTCCGGAAATTAAGAAATTCCTTATTTATAATAAAAAAAAAAAATAAAAAAAAATTATGTTATACAGTTTTCTTTGGTAGCATAAACTAAGTCCAACTGTAATAGACTCGGAGCGAATTATCGCTTTGTCTGTGAATAATTTTAAAGTCTTAAGAAAGTTTTAAAGGAAACCTTTTTAATAAATCAGAACTGGCGCGCAGATGCACGTCTCGTCGTGCTTGATAACTCAGGCAACCACTTTGGGCGATGTAACTTAAAATAATAAGCAATTTCAAGATTTGAAACTTACTAGTAGTCAAAGGCTACACAATTGATTTAACGTGAAGTTGGCTAAACAATTTCTCACCGGCGTAACAATTTAAATGCCGTAACTGTATTGAAAAGCTAAATAGTACAAGCTTATCTGAGCTAGCGAAACCTACTAACGTGGAGGCAGAAATACGATCTGTCTTTATAATCCAACAACGTCACCTTAAATACTTTGAAACTCAATTTGCATTCTGGTAGAGGAACAGAAGGGAGAAGTGACAGGAAAATTATCATAAAATAGCTGGAATAACTTTAAAGTTTGATTTGTAAGGAAGGCATTGAGGTACTTTTGTTTCAGTTGCACAGTCCAGGTCCTTTCAGAGAATTTTGAAGTGACCTAATCAGATGAAAATCCGGTTACAGCCGAAGACATCGCGGCAAAAACACCGCAGACGAAAACGTCGCAGAGAAAACAACGCAAGGCGAAAACATCGTGCTACAAAACATCGCAGTTCTAAAACATCGTGGTACAAAATATCGTCGTCGAAAATAAAGCGGTTCAAAAACTTCGCAGTTTAAAAACATAGCCGTCGAAAATATTGTGGTAAAAAAATAATCTACAAATCATCGCATGACGATAACATCGCAGACATGCTTTTTTCAGGCTTTAATAATTGTAAATGGATATTCCCATGAAGATTTGTGAGCGCAAGTTGGAAAAAAGGATAATTTTTGCTTTCATGTTTTTTATTCAATAATAATTTTTGCTGATAAAGTAAGAAGGAAACTTAAGCATAGAAAATTCATGCACTTATAGCACTTAATAGAATGTTAAACCGACACACTGGTTAAATATCTAAGGTCATTAATAAATCATTTTTATAAAGTTTTTACTGGTAAAAATTTTCATGAAAAGTATAATCTAAAAAAGATTAGAAAAAGGAAGGTAAGTAACTGCATGACGTTAAATTGCTAAATTATGAGATTATATTCTTCACTTTTGTTTTAATCTAATACTCTTACAGTGAAACTTATTTCTTGTTTGGTTTCAGTTTATTTTTGCAGCTTGCAGTCAGTTACTTGAATGTCGATTTGCTAGTTATGACGAAAGTCAGCTATATAATATTTCGGCAGTGTTTGGATTTATTAGATTATGCCAAAGCACACTACGGCTATCTGCTTAAGGGGTGGGGGAGTACATTCTGAGGAACTGTTTCATATGCACATTATACTTCAGGAAAATCACGAAAATCTTCACGCAGCTCTTTTTGTTTGTTTTTTAGAAATAATGTATACTTGCAGTGAACATTCTTGGTGACTATCTCCCTAAGACGAACAATGTTTTTCAAGAACTAATAACATATGTTTTAATCATTACGCAAGTTCACCACATCCACACAAGGTTAAAAAGATATGGAACTTTGAGTGGTCGCTTTAAATTGGATTGCTTACATTTACTTTTAGATTTAGGCTGCCCAGACGGTATGAGGAGCCGGGCTGCGATACCAAAGGTCCCGGGCTCGAATTTCGGGGAAGGCAGGGTTGTAACTGTCCATCATAGGAGGCAAAGGTGGCCCACTTATTTGGTGCCTCCATAATAAAGTAGAAGGCAGTGTTGTAACTGTTCGTTATAGGAGGCAAAGGTGGCCCACTTATTTGGTGCCTCCATAATAAAGTAAGCCTTAATAGTGACCAAGCCGAAGTCGGCTGAGGGCCCGCCGTTGGTAAAAAAAAATTTTAGATTTAGACTAGACATTTCTTATTAAGCACTTAAAATTATTTTTAATTTTTCATATAAATTTTATTCGAAAATTTGGTAGTTAGTTATTGAACTTACAGTGACCAACTTCCTAAGAGAATCTTTAATTTTTTTCTTCTGTGTTTCTTAATTTTCAGAATATTTTAATTTATGTACTCCAAAAATTCTATAGCGAAATTAAAATTAATATTTCTGAGTGATATTCTATTTTGTGGTGATTCGTTGTCGTCGGAATTCTTTGCCTAACAACTTTGAAGCGACTAATTTTTCTTGTAAATTTTTAATTAAAGATAAAATTTAATGAAATAAAAACTTAATCAAATTTCCCTTAAATTTTATAAAGGATAAAAACTGCATATACTTTACATTGACTTTTATTTTCAGTGACTGAAACATTTCAGATACACTTTTTTTTTTACTTAAATGACAATTTGTTTGGAATAAGAAAATGTAACTTTTTTATGTTTTATAAACATATGATTTTGAATATCAACCATAAATAAATTTTACAATCCAAGTTCTCTTTGTACATGATTATGTTTTAATTAAAATAATCAGAAAAAATATTTTTCCATAAAATGAAAGTATTTAGTGTTCTACGTATTCAACTAAAAGTATCTAACACATTTTGCAAAAAGATATCTTTAAAGAAGGCATGTTTTCCATCATTTATGTTTCAAATCAAACACAAATATCTTTTTCATCTTTGTACTTTATGGAGTTAGCCATTTCTTATACTTTGATATGCGTTCTCTTTAATATATGTGCAAGGCAAGTATGTTGGTTGTGATTCATACCATATATTAATACTTGTATGTACTGGAATCACATGCTTTTTTTGGAGCACTGGTTTGCTCAGACCTCCCTCTTTTTTGTTCATTTAATTGTTGCAACATGTTTAATTTTTATATAGTTTCGATGGTGTGGGACTCTGAGAAGTTGTATATAGTCCTTATTTATTTTAAATATTGTCCTCATTCATCTTTGTAGTCTTTATTATATTATACATTGTCCTTATTTATTTTAGTAATAACCGTGGTTTCTTACTGATCCTGTGACTCAATTATTTTAATGCTTGTTATATGTTAGTGCATATTCCCCACTGAAAATATATTATAAAAGTCTATTAATATACGTCTTCATATTAAACATCATTTGGATGTAAAAAGCACAATTAATTCAAATAGACTCATGAATCTATGAATTTTTTATGAGCAAAAATTTATAATTTTACGTGTCATATAGTGCAGAATATCAAAAACAAGGATGTACAAGTTGTCAAAGTATAAAATTTTTAAATGAAAGGAAAAATACTTTTTTTTTTTTTGAGGAGTTAAGTACATTTAACTAATATTACCCATATAAAAATGGTTAACTCTATGAAGTTATAAACTTATATGCAACATTTTTTCCCTTTTGTTTCATGCAGATATGCAATAATAAACACTGTTGTAGAGTTTTTAATGGCTGGGAAAAGAGATAAAGAAGCCTTTTTTTCCTCCCTGTGAAGTGAAAGTTGAAGAAAATATTTAATCTTGAGGTAAAGAAATCCGACAAGCAATTAGTACATTTGTTATTTACAGTGATGTACATGGATAAACCAAATTCTACATTTACCAAATAACGCACCTCTCATTGATTTAGTTAATTCACAATATATCTTTGTTTATTATTAAAAACTGTGTGATCTGTAAAAACTACAGTTAATTACAGATGAAGAAAAACTATAAGATTTGTAAAATTATTAAAAAAAGATACTTTTGTTTGATTTAAAATGTAAAATATGGAAATTGACATGCCTTCTTTCAAGATGTCTTTTTCTAATAGTTTAATGCATAGAAGCACTAAATACTTTCAATTTATTAAAAGAATATTCTTTCTGGTGAATTTAATTAAAAAATAATCATGCAACGAAGCAAACCCGGATTTTAAAATTTAGTTATGATTGATATTCAAAATCATATGTTTCTAAAGCATTTAAAATGATACATAAAAATGTTACATTTTCTTATTCCAAACAGTTTGTCATTTAAATACAAAAAAATTGTACTTGAAACATTTCAGTCACTGAAAATAAAAGTCAATGTAAAATATGTGCAGTTTTTATCCTTAAAAATTATATAAGGGAAATTTGATTAAATTTTATTTCATTAAATTTTATCTTTAATTAAAAATTTACAAGAAAAATTAGTCGCTTCAAAGTTGCTAGGCAAAGAATTCCGACGACAAAGAATCGCCACAAAATAGAATCTCACTCAGAAATTCAGAAATATTAATTTTAATTTCGTTACAGATTTCTGGAGTGCATAAATTAAAAACCGCGGTAAGAAAAACATTTAAAATTGTCTTAGGAAGTTGGTCACTGTAAATTCAATAAGTAACTACGAAACTTAAATAAAAATTAGTCGCTTCAAAGTTGCTAGGCAAAGAAATCCGACGACAAAGAATCGCCACAAAATAGAATCTCACTCA